AGTATGTGGGTCTCTATGTGAGTTTATGGGTCTCTATGTGAGTCTGTGGGTCTCTATGTGAGTCTGTGGGTCTCTATGTGAGTCTGTGGGTCTCTACGTGAGTCTATGGGTCTCTATGTGAGTCTGTGGGTCTCTATGTGAGTCTGTGGGTCTCTATGTGAGTCTATGGGTCTCGATGCGAGTCTATGCACCTCTATGTGAGTCTATGGGTCTCTATGTGAGTGTATGTTCCTCTATGTGAGTCTACGGGTCTCTATGTGAGTGTATGTGCCTCTATGTGAGTCTACGGGTCTCTATGTGAGTCTCTAGGTTTCTCTGCCAAGTCACCGGTGACCGCGCTGATACCACCAACTCGCCGCACGAGAGAACCCTGGGGTTCAATCCCTGGTGGCGGCTGGGACCTGGACTCGAACCCAGACCCTCAGCGGCGCGGGCTCGTGCGAACACGCCGTATTTGCCGTGCGCTTCCCTTTATTAGAGATGGCTTCGATAAGATACGGCACTAAGGATATTAAATGCAAGCCCGCTGATTGAGGACATCTGCCAACGCCGAGTCGTGATTCGCCCACGTTGTTTGCACGGTCAATCAATGACCAGCAGCCCCCCCCCCCCACACCTGCCCCTCCCCCCCGTCCCCCCAACCCACCCCCCCAATGAATAGAATAAAAATTCCCGGGACCCATTTAGCCCGTCTTGTGCAAACAAAGAGCTGAGGTTGTGAAGGTCGCATAGGTGGATGAGTGGGTGGGGAGTGGGTGAGTGAGTCGGGGGGGGGGGTGAGAAGGTGAGTGGGTGGGTGGAGAGTGGGTGAGTGAGTCGGGCGGGGGGGGTGAGAAGGTGAGCCGGGGGGGGTGAGAAGGTGAGTGGGTGGGGAGTGCGTGAGTGAGTCGGTGAGGGGTGAGTGAATAGGTGAGTGAGTGGGAGAGTGTTTGAGTGAGTCGGTGAGAGGTGGGTGAGTAGGTGAGTGGGTCGGAGAGTGTTTGAGTGAGTCGGTGAGGGGTGGGTGAGTAGGTGAGTGGATGGGGGAGTGTTTGAGTGAGTCGGTTAGAGGTGAGTGAGTAGGTGAGTGGATGGGAGAGTGTTTGAGTGAGTAGGTGAGTGGGTGGGAGAGCGTTTGAGTGAGTCGGGGAGGGGTGGGTGAGTAGGTGAGTGGGTGGGAGAGTGTTTGAGTGAGTCGGTGAGGGGTGAGTGAGTAGGTGAGTGGGTGAGTGGGTGGGAGAGTGTTTGAGTGAGTCGGTGAGGGGTGGGTGAGTAGGTGAGTGGGTGGGAGAGTGTTTGAGTGAGTCGGTGAGGGGTGAGTGAGTAGGTGAGTGGGTGGAAGAGTGTTTGAGTGAGTCGGTGAGGGGTGGGTGAGTAGGTGAATGGGTGGGAGAGTGTTTGAGTGAGTCGGTGAGGGGTGGGTGAGTAGGTGAGTGGGTGGGAGAGCGTTTGAGTGAGTCGGTGAGGGGTGGCTGAGTAGGTGAGTGGGTGGGAGAGTGTTTGAGTGAGTCGGTGAGGGGTGGGTGAGTAGGTGAGTGGGTGGGAGAGTGTTTTAGTGAGTCGGTGAGGGGTGGGTGAGTAGGTGAGTGGGTGGGAGGGTATTTGAGTGAGTCGGTGAGAGGTTGGTGAGTAGGTGAGTGGGTGGGAGAGTGTCTGAGTGAGTCGGTGAGGGGTGGGTGAGTAGGTGAGTGGGTGGGAGAGTGTTTTAGTGAGTCAGTGAAGGGTGAGTGAGTAGGTGAGTGGGTTGGAGAGTGTTTGAGGGAGTCGGTGAGGGGTGAGTGAATAGGTGAGTGAGTGGGAGAGTGTTTGAGTGAGTCGGTGAGGGGTGGGTGAGTAGGTGAGTGGGTGGGAGAGTGTTTGAGTGAGTCGGTGAGGGGTGGGTGAGTAGGTGAGTGAGTGGGAGAGTGTTTGAGTGAGTCGGTGAGGGGTGGGTGAGTAGGTGAGTGGGTGGGAGAGTATTTGAGTGAGTCGGTGAGAGGTGGGTGAGTAGGTGAGTGGGTGGGAGAGTGTTTGAGTGAGTCGGTGAGGGGTGGGTGAGTAGGTGAGTGGGTGGGAGAGTATTTGAGTGAGTCGGTGAGAGGTGGGTTAGTAGGTGAGTGGGTGGGAGAGTGTTTGAGTGAGTCGGTGAGGGGTGGGTGAGTAGGTGAGTGGGTGGGAGAGTATTTGAGTGAGTCGGTGAGAGGTGGGTTAGTAGGTGAGTGGGTGGGAGAGTGTTTGAGTGAGTCGGTGAGGGGTGGGTGAGTAGGTGAGTGGGTGGGAGAGTGTTTGAGTGAGTGGCTGCGTGAGTGGCGGAATCAGTGAGTGATTGGCTGAGTTAACGGCTGATTGAGTGGATGAGTGGTCAATGCCGTGCCACGTGCAGTTGGTCAATGCCGTGTCACGTGGAGTTGGTCACAGCTGTGAGTGGTGGGGCAGTTGTTAGGCACTCACTCTGGATGAGGACGTCTTGTGTGCTCGTGCCGTTGGTGAGCGTCGAGGCCAACGTGGTGGCATTGAGGGACATGGTGAGCGGTGCCACGAGCTGCGGGAGACACAGACGGCAGCGGGAGAGATGCGTTACCCGGCTGTCGATTCGGTCGTCATCATCATTGTCGTAGTTATAATAGTCGTCGTCGTCGTCATCATTGTCGTCGTTATCGTCATCATCGTCGTCGTCATCATCATCGTCATCATTGTCGTCGTCATTGTCATTATCATCATCATCATCGTCATCATCGTCGTCGTCATCGTCATCATCGTCGACATCATCGTCGTCGTCATCATCGTCGTCATCATCATCATCGTCGTCATCATCGTCGTCATCGTAGACATCATCGTCGTCGTCATCATCATCATCATCATCGTCGTCATCATTGACATCATTGTCGTCGTCATCCATCATCAAAGTGGCTGGTTCGGAATCGAGCAGCACAAACTGTTAACAGAGTCAGCGTAGAGGGGTTCAAGCAACGTGCAGAGCAAACGCCCACTCATCAGCGAGTTCACTGCCACCATTACCAACACGCTGCCTCGCTTCCACAACACACAGCTCATCAGCGAGCCCACTGCCACCATTGCCAACACGATGCCCGGCTGCCACTACACACATCTCATCAGCGAGTTCACTACCACCACCACCACCACCAGCACGCTGTCTCGCTTCCACAACACACAACTCATCAGCGAGTTCACAGCCACCACCACCACCAGCACGCTGCCCGGCTTCCACTACACACAACTCATCAGCGAGTTCACTACCACCACCACCACCACCAGCACGCTGCCCGGCTTCCACTACACACAACTCATCAGCGAGTTCACTACCACCACCACCACCAGCACGCTGCCCGGCTTCCACTACACACAACTCATCAGCGAGTTCACTACCACCACCACCACCACCACCAGCACGCTGCCTGGCTTCCACTACATACAACTCATCAGCGAGTTCACTACCACCACCACCACCAGCACGCTGCCTGGCTTCCACTACACACAACTCATCAGCGAGTTCACTACCACCACCACCACCAGCACGCTGCCTGGCTTCCACTACACACAACTCATCAGCGAGTTCACTACCACCACCACCACCAGCACGCTGCCTGGCTTCCACTACACACAGCTCATCAGCGAGCCCACTGCCACCATTGCCAACACGCTGCCCGGCTGCCACTACACACATCTCATCAGCGAGTTCACAGCCACCACCACCATACCTCCTGGCTTCCACAACACACAGCTCATCAGCGAGTCTGCGACTACTACAACCACCACCACGCAGCCCAGCTTCCATAAAACACAGCTCTTAACGAAGCCCACCACCACCCTGCCCGGCTTCAACAACGCACAGCTCATCAGCGAGCCCACCTCAGTTCATCTGCGAGGCTCACGACTATAAATTCAGCATTCTCATCGTCGAGACGGAACTCTGATGCTCTTAGAACAGCAGCAGCAGCAGTCAACGTTGCTGTTGCTTATCTGCCAAACCGGCAGTGAAACTTTGAACAGAAACGTCACTCAGCCCTTGGGCGTTCTGCACAAAGCATCAGCAGTCTGCACTCGCTGGGTTCCTCTCGTCCGAGGCGACGAATCGAGTCAATGTGACCGACAGACTCATCAGCAGTAGCAGCATTGGAACAAAGACAACTGTGGGACCAGTTTCGTTATTGTTAGGACTCATCAGCAGAATCAGCAGTGAGATAGAGTCAACTGAGGGACTAGTTTCGCAAGTTTCGATTTAAAGCTTTCGTGACTGCAGGGATTTATCTTCTTGGTTGTTTCGGTAAAGTCACGTAGAAGGGAAATAATAAAATAATAAAAATAAAATAAAATTAAACATAATAATAAAATAAAATAATAAAATAACATGGCATAATAATATAATAATATATTATTTTATTATGTTTTACTTTTATTATTTTATTACTTCCCTTCTATGTGACTTTACCGAAAGAACCAAGAAGATAGTTTCGCAATTGTTAGGACTCATCAGCAGAATCAGCAGTGAGATAGAGTCAACTGAAGGACTGGTTTCGCAAGTGTTATAACTCATCAGCAGCAACAACAGCGGGACCGCTTCCGTTGTTTTTAGGACTCATCACCAGCATCAGCAGTGAGATAGAGACAACAGTGGAATGGGTCCGTTATTGTCAGGGTCTCTGTGTGAGTCTATGGGTCTCTGTGTGAGTTTATGGGTCTCTGTGTGAGTCTATGGGTCTCTGTGTGAGTCTATGGGTCTAAGCCTATGGGTCTATGTGTGAGTCTATGGGTCTCTGTGTGAGTCGATGGATCTCTGTGTGAGTCTATGGATCTCTGTGTGAGTCTATGGTCCTCGGTGAGTCTATGGTTCTCTGTGTGAGTCTATGGGTCTTTGTGTGAGTTTATGGGTCTCTGTGTGAGTCTATGGGTCTCTGTGTGAGTCGATGGGTCTCTGTGTGAGTCTATGGATCTCTGTGTGAGTCTATGGTCCTAGGTGAGTCTATGGTTCTATGTGTGAGTCTATGGGTCTCTGTGTGAGTATATGGGTCTCTGTGTGAATCTATGGTTCTCGGTGAGTCTATGGTTCTCTGTGTGAGTCTATGGGTCTCTGTGTGAGTCTATGGGTCTCTGTGTGAGTCTATGGGTCTCTGTGTGAGTATATGGGTCGCTGTGTGAGTCTATGGATCTCTCTGTGAGTCTGTGTCATTATGTGAGTCGATGGGTCTCTGTGTAAGCCTATGGGTCTCACCGCGAGGTAGGGAGGCTATGTTACTGCTGTGTGTGATCTCAATGGAGTGATTTTTTACGCTACATTTTTGGTATTGGAGTTTATTGATTTATCTATGGGATGAACCCACAGCATTCGTATGAAACTCTAAAAATAGGTTTGACCCTTTCTGGCAATAAAACAGGTGGATTAGTATGTTAAAACAACCAAACTGAAACCTTTTGCAAGGAATCCTGTCTGCATTAGCCACATATACTTGTGATGAACATGCAAACAAAAAACCATGCCCTGGTAGTATGTGATGACGCTTTGTCTTTGAAACTGATTGGTCCACACCAGAGACGGCTTTCTTTAGAGCCCAGTCTCACTAGCAGCGTTAGACCAGAGGCCGACGCCACAAGGCGACCAGCACAAGAACAATGCCACTAATAGGGGTTTTCCCCTTTTTTCTGGCAACAAAACTGACACCTTTAACAATGAATCATGCTTACATTAACCACAATACTAGCAGTCAAATGCAAACAAAAAACAATACTCTGATAATGTATGCATTGTCTTTGAAACTGATTGGTCCACACCAGAGACGGCTTTCTTTAGAGCCCAGTCTCACTCGCAGCGTTAGACCAGAGGCCGACGCCACAAGGCGACCAGCACAATAACAATGCCCCTGTCAGGAACATTGAGAACTCGGGGTGAGCAGCTACATCACGGGACCTCCCTTGCCACTGTCAAAATACAATCATCGGTTTAAATTTCGATTTAAAGCTTTCGTGACTGCAGGGATTCATCTTCTTGGTTCGTTCGGTAAAGTCACGTAGAAGGGAAGTAATAAAATAATAGAAATAAAACATAATAAAATAATTCTCACGACGTTTCGGCCACAACGCAAGCAGCCGTCCTCAGGTGAAGAATGAAACACCACCAAGCTTGGAGCGTATATTTAAGCTGGGTTGGAGGGGTGAAAGAAGAGCGCCTTGACAAAATAATTTGCATATCAAGAGGAATTTAGCATATTTATGGGAAATACATAGGAGGTGGGCGGGGGGTTTCAAAGTCATATTATTCCCGTGCATTATGCAGGATTAGCAGCATCAAAGGAAGGGGGGGTAGCATTAACAAGAACAATCGGTTTCACCCTTTCTGGCAATAAAGCAGGTGGCGTTGAGATATTCAAACACCAAGGAATTAAGTTTGCATTAACCACACTCGGTATTCGTGGTAAAATGCAAACAAACACGTTCTGATAATGATGCTCCTGCTGTTATGGAGTGACTCATGCAGCCAACTACGGCTGCAAAGTTTGGTCGTACATGATATGTATTTCATCTTCTTGGTTCTTTCGGTAAAGTCACGTAGAATGGAAATAACAAAAATAAAAAATAACAAAATAATTCTCACGACGTTTTTATTATTTTATTATTTCCATTCTACGTGACTTTACCGAAAGAACCAAGAAGATGAATCCCTGTAGTCACGAAAGCTTTAAATCGATATATATATATTTCGTTTATTGTTAAATTTGAATCACAGTTCCTATGATAACTGTTACATTGTTTTTATAGCTTGATTTTGGTGATTTCGAAAACTTTTTGGTTTAGCCATGTTTGATTGTTGTAGTACAGAGTTAGACTGGTAACTTTAATCTTAATTGTCTTATGCTACCCCTATCCCCTCCCTTTGATGCTGCTAATCCTGCATAATGCACGGGCATAATATAACTTCCCGACAGACCTGTTCTTCACCTGAGGACGGCTGCTTGCGTTGTGGCCGAAACGTCGTGAGAATTGTATTTTATTATGTTTTATTTTTATTATTTTATTATTTCCCTTCTACGTGACTTTACCGAAAGAACCATAGAAGATGAATCCCTGCAGTCACGAAAGCTTTAAATCGCAATGTATTATGGTTGTTATTGTTTGACTTGCAACCCACTGGGATTTTTGCACACAGCGTTGAAACACGGTGTTTTTTTCTGGAAGATTTTGCTGTTTTTCCCCAGGATTTTTCTGTTGCGTGTAGTCACTTTAAGATGTTTATTGTTCATGTTTTGTTGCGGTTGCTCCCGAGTCAAGAGCCACATGGCTCACAGGGCTATACCTAATAAATGAAACTGAATTGAAATGTAAGCATTGTCTGTCTGGTCTGCCCCGTTCTGCATCATCATGATGATGAAGACAGCAATTATAATAATGATGATGACGACTGAGATCGTGATGATGATTGGGATCATGATGTAAGCATTGTCTGTATGTTCTCCCCCGTTCTGCATCATCATGATGATGTAGACAGCAATTATAATGATGATGATGACGAGTGAGATCGTGATGATGATT